TGCCACAACTGTATCCTTGTCTCCGACAGCACAAAATAACTTTTCATTGAATTCGAGTGCTCTACATCCCGACATACAGTTCCTTCTTCAATTTGCACTAAGACCTGCTACTCGCCATTCATATGTGACTAAATGGAGGCTCTTTACTTTGTTTCCTTATACTAACCACTTCACCTCTCAATTGGCTTCCATTGAGAACATTCTCCAATTTCTTCTGTTTCTACATCAGACTTGGACTGAAATCTTCCTCCATTAAGGTCTACATTGCAGCTATTTCGCATTATTGTGGCCCAGTTTTGGGTTCATTGGTGTTTTCCAATGTCCTTGTCCGGTGCTTCTTGAGAGGATTACAGAATCCCCAGGCACCAGTTCGATCAGTCATACCGACATGGACCCTTTCCATTGTCCTACAAGTGCTCACTTAAACCTCCTTTTGAGCCGCTAGCTACTACCCACTTGCGTCTACTATCTTGGAAGATGGCTTTCCTTGTAGCCATCACATCACCCAGGAGGGCTAGTGAACTTTGTGCTTTTCGTATTGACCCTCCTTATCTTAACTTCCACAAAGAGAAAGTTGTTCTCCACACTGACACGGCTTTCCTCCCAAAGGTTGTTTCACCATTCCACATCAATCAGGACATTGTCTTACCGGCTTTCTTTTCTATGCCTTTGACTCTAGCACTCATTACACTCCTTGACATTCATTGCTGCCTAGCTTTTTATCGATCCTGGACTGAGTATTTTAGGAACATGAAACGTCTCTTCATCAAATATTCTGAGCACGACAAGGGCTCCCTGATCGGTCTCAAAGGCTCTCTAAATGGATCATCCAAACCATTGAGCTCTCTTAACAGCTCTCCAAGTTAGAGTTGCCTGTAATGCCCAGAGACCATTCCACAAGAGCTGTTGTGGCGTCTTCTGCCTTCTGTGCTTGCATTCCACTGCATGATATTTGCAAAGCAGCCACCTGGACTTCCCCTTGCACATTTGCCAAGCATTATCGCCTAGACCAGGGGTCAGCAACCCACGGCCCCGGAGCTGCATGTGGCTCTTCAATACCTCTGCTGTGGCTCCCTGTCACTCAAAATATGCATCACAACCACCAACGTGCCACACCTGCTGGCACGCGATTTATTGAGCTTTTCAACCCCTGGTAGGCCAACTATGGATAAATCCAAAAAAAAAAAAAAAAGAAAAGTTTCAGAAGAAAACAGAACATTTAATGGTACGTGGGCAGATTTATTTGCTTTCACTGCTGATGAGACTGGTTTACCAGTATGCTTAATATGTGGTGAGAAATTGGAAAACAACAAAAAGTCGAATGTTGCAAGACATTTCCAGAATAAACACACAGCCTTTGCTGAAAAATATCCGGATGGAGATGAGAGAAAAAAAGCCATTTCGGAACTGATGCGGAAGGTTGATCTGAGCAAAAATCCTTTCAAGAGGAGGATTAAGTCTGCAAATTCAACTACATATGCTAGTTTTGTGGCCGCTCTGGAAATAGTCAGGCACGGGAGGCTGTTCACAGATGGAGATTATATAAAAGAATCATTCATTGATTTCGTAAATGCAACACACTATAGCTTTTTATACATAGCATAAAGGCAAAAAAATGATATATGCAGTGATATCTTCCTTTTAGATGTCAAAAGGGTTTAGTGGTTCCCAGTGTTTTCTTTTCTGTGGAAAACGGGTCCAAATGGCTCTTTGAGTGTTTAAGGTTGCCAACCCCTGGCCTAGATGTTTGTGCCAGACAGGACTGCTCCTTCGGCTATGCAGTCCTCTCTTCAGTTCTTCAGTGATGACACCGTCCCACCTCTAATCACCCATATGTCTGATGCACAGAGGCCACGATGAAGAAAGGCAAGTTGCTTAGCTGTAACTATCATTCTTTGAGTGGCCATCTGTGCATTCACAAAACCCACCCGCCAGCCCCAGTCAGTGTCAGTGATTGGATTTACTGAACCAGCTTTGGTATGCAATTGCATGCTTTTTCCATACTTACCTCATGTGCCTCATTGAGAGCATGTTCAATTATGATATGAATGTGTAATGCTTCCAGCTTCCACTTGGGGGCGAACGGTTGGACTTCAATAGACTGGGGAAATGGCGGGCATTCTGCCTTCTTATACTGTGGTGGGGAGGGGTGCAGAGTTCCCACCAAAACCATTGAGCTTTTGAATCTTCCTGGCTACAGGCACTGCATAGGCACAGCACCCATATGTGTGAATGCACAGATGGCCACTCAAAGTTTAATGACAGTTACAGGTAAGCAACCTGCCTTTCTGGCCTTGGTAAGTTTTCCATGAATGATATTTTGCAAAAATGCTGCATTAGATTTGGTGGTCTGTTTGTGGGAGGTCTGGTAGGAATCCATTACTGTGCTTTTCAAATATTTGTATTAATTTCAATGTTGGTTGTTGTTGTAAGTCGCGAAGTCGTGTCCAACCCATTGCGACTCCATGGGCAACATTCCTCCAGGCCTTCCTGACCTCCACCATCCCCCAGAGTCCACTTAAGCTCATGCCGACTACTTCAGTGACTCCATCCAGCCACCTCATTCTCCGCCGTCCTCTTCTTCTTTGGTTGTAAGAAGCATTAGGCTCTTCTCCAGTGAGTCCTTCCTTCTCATTAGGTGGCCAAAGTATTTGAGTTTCATTTTCAGTATCTGCCCTTCTAAAGAGCAGTCAGGGTTGATCTCTCTCTTCGGCACTCAGCCTTCCTTATGGTCCTACTTTCACAGCCATACATTGCAACTGGGAAAACCATAGCCTTGACTATACGCACTTTTGTTGGCAGGGTGATGTCTCTGCTTTTTAGTATGCTATCTAGGAGTGAGGGCCTTTTAATTTCTTGGCTGCAGCCCCCGTCTGCAGTGATCTTGGAGCCCAGGAAAATAAAATCTGTCACTACCTCCATTTCTTCCCCATCTATTTGCCAGGAAGTGATAGGACCGGATGCCATGTTCTTAGTTTTCTTAATGTTGAGTTTCAAGCCAGCTTTTGCGCTCTCCTCCTTCACCCGCATCAAGAGGTTCTTCAGTTCCTCTTCACTTTCTGCCATTAGAGTGGTATCATCTGCGTCTCTTTTAAGAACTTGGCACAATTGGTTGTGATCCACACAATCAAAGACTTTAGCATAGTCAATAAAGCAGAAGTAGATGTTTTTCTGGAACTCCCTAGCTTTCTTCATGATCCAGCATATATTGGCAATTTGTTCTCTAGTTCCTCTGCCTCTTGGAAATCTTGCCTGTACTTCTGGTAGTTCTCAGTGCACATACTGCTGGAGCCTAGCTTGCAGGATTTTGGGCGTAACTTTGCTAGCATGTGAAATGAGTGCAATGGTGCGGTAGTTTGAGCATTCTTTGGCATTGCCCTTCTTTGGAATTGGAATGTAAACTGACCCTTTCCAATCCTGTGTGCACTGTTGAGTTTTCCACATTTGCTGGCATATTGAGTGTAGCACTTTTACTCCATCGCCTTTTAGGATTTTGAATAGCTCAGCTGGAATACTGTCGCCTCCACTAGCTTTGTTGTTGCCAGACTTCCTAAGGTCCATTTGACTTCACATTCCAGGATGTCTGACTTGAGGTCAGTGACCACCCCATCTTGGTTGTCAGGGATGTTAAGCTTTTTCTTGTATAGTTCTTCTGTGTAGTCTTACCACCTCTTCTTAATCTCTTCTGCCTCTGTTAGGTCCCTACCATTTTGGTCCTTTATCATGCCCATCTTTGCATGAAACTTTCCCTTCATATCTCCAATTTTCTTGGAAATGATCTCTGGTCCTCCCTATTCTATTGTTTTCTTCTATTTCTTTGCACTTTTAATTTAAGAAGGCATTCTTATCTCTTCTAGCTATTCCCTGGAATTCTGCATTCAATTGGGTGTATCTTTCCTTTTCTCCCTTGCCTTTCGCTTCCCTTCTTTCCTTAGCAATTTGTAAAGCTTCCTCAGACAGCCATTTTGCTTTCTTGCATTTCTTTTTCTTTGGGATGGTTTTAGTTGCTACTTCTTGTACAATGTTGCGAACCTCCGTCCATAGTTCTTCAGGCACTCTGTCTAGCAGATATAATTCCATAAATCTATTTGTTACCTCTACTGTATATTCATCAGGAATATGATTTAGGTCATACCTGAGTGACCTAGTGCTTTTCCCTACTTTTTTCAATTTAAGCCCAGATTTTGCAACAAGAAGCTCATAATCTGAGCCACAGTCAGCTCCTGGTCTTGTTTTTACTGAGTGTATAGAGCTTCTCCATCTTTGGCTGCAGAGCACATAGTCAATCCGATTTCTGTGTTGACCGTCTGGTGATGTCCATGTGAAGAGTCATCTCTTGGGTTGTTGGAAAAGATTGTTTGCTATGACCATTGTATTCACTTGACAAAATTCTACCCGCCTGTGCGCTGCTTCATTTTGTACTCCAAGGCCAAACTTGCCTGTTATTCCAGTGATCTTTTGGCTTCCTACTTTAGCATTCCAATCCCCCATGATGGTGTTAATTCTAGAAGGTGTTGTAGGCCTTCACAGAACCAGTCAACTTCAGCCTCTTCAGCATCAGTGGTTGGGGGATAGATTTGGACTACTGTGATGTTGATTGGTTTGCCTTGGATTCGAACAGAGATCATTCTGTCATTTTGGAGATTGTATCCCAGTTCTGCTTTTCCTACTCTTTTATTGACTGTGAAGGCTACTCCATTTCTTCTGAGGGATTCGTGCCCTCCGTAGTGTACCTGATGGTCATCTGAATTAAATTCACCCATTCCTATCCATTTTCAGTTTCAATTTATGTATTCCTAAAAGCACATTAATGAATAAAAGCTTGGGTATGGATTTTTACATGTTCCTTGTTGGTTTTCTTTTCATGTATGTGACAATGGAGCTCTTTTATTAAGTAGACTTACCAAACTCTTTCATCACAAATTTGTTGCGTGTTAAAATAACATTGTGCTGTAAGAGAAGGCATTATGTTATAAATTTTCAAAAAATTTTATTTTCAGCGTTATGGACTTGGGACACGATTATACTACAGAGTGATGGAATCCATCTTAAAATCGGTAGGTTTTTGTGATATGTATTTCTTAGAACTGGTATTTCCTTTTTTAATGTGCTAAAGCCTTCATTTATGTATATGTTATAGGAAGAAAAACGGCTTTCAATTCATAATTTTAGGTATGTTTGCTAAACTTACTTCAAAGATCACTATAATTTTTGCCTTTTTTACCTGCTGGAATTTATTTGTATTGCAACCTTTTACTGAAGCTTCTATTTTACAGCAAACTTCTGAATAACGGCATCTTCCACACATCTCTTCTGGCTTGTGCTCTTGAGGTTGTCATAGCTACATATGGCAGTAAGTTGAACTTAAGTATATATGTTATTATGTATGCTCAAGTAAAACTTCAGTCGAACTTTCTGTGTTTAACATTATTTTTGAATAGGGAATTTATTAAACTAAATGTAAAATCCACAAATAATTTATCTCAAACTAGAGTAATTTATACATGACTTAGCTAACTTAAATATTTATTGAATATATTCTCTTTAGTTTCAAGGAATACTTCACAAAGCAATAATATGACTATGGAAACAGATTTGTCTTTCCCATGGATCATCAACATACTTGACTTAAAAGCCTTTGACTTATACAAGGTCATTGAAAGCTTTATTAAAGTAGAACCAAGCTTAACGAGAGAGATGATAAAACACCTAGAGTGTTGTGAACACCAAATTATGGAATCCCTTGCATGGCGATCAGTAAGTTGCCTTTTAAATGTATAATATGTATATGTGTGTAGTTTAAGAAGAATCACATGGACAATTTTATACCACTATTTGTAGAAGTACAATAGATTACAGGATTTTTTTCTGTATTCTCCCATGAAGAAACAAGATTAACCTTCCTCACTGGCAAGTTGAGTTACCTTATCCTTGGTATTGAAGGCTAGCCCTGAAAACTGGCACTGTAATTTCTCCCCTGAAACACTAGAATTGTTGGTTTAAACAAAAGTCTTTCAGTATCAGTAATACTGTGGATGATACAGAAAAAAAATACTTGGTCACATCTTACAGTTTGTGAGCTTTGTGGACTTGCCTGTTTTGTAGTTTCATCCACTGACTCATTGAATTGTAAACTAAACAATCAGCTTTTAAAATCAAGTAGGAATGTAATTTTGATTATGTTTCTCAGTTTATTCAGCTTGTAATGATTAATTTGTCATGTAAAATGTCAACCTGTGATTTTTGCTTACCCAGTCCAATCATCTCTGTTGTACATTCTTTCCCATTCTTCTTTCCTTGTGATTTTCCATTTTAACCCAAGGTTTCCTGCTTTTCCAACTTTGCCTCAATCACAGTCTGATAATTTTGTTCTGTAAAACTTTAAGGGAGGTACTCTGGTGCTCATGTGCATAACTTCTTTCTAGGTTCTGTTTTAGTCATGCTATATAGCAGTGATAGGCAACTGGTGCCCTCCAAATGTTTTGCAGTATGATGATGATGGTAGTTATAATGCATTTCTATCCCACCTTTTTTCCTTTTGTGAGGAACTTAAGGTGACTTTTAACATTCTCCTTCACTCCATTTTACTATTCTCAGCCAGCATGGCCAATAGTAAGAGTTTATGAACCTTGTAGTCCAGGTTGTCCTCTCCTGGTAAGGAGTAACAGAATTCTAACATGCCAAAATTGCAAAAAATTCTTTGATCTGGCTGAGCATATAATGAATGTCACCTTTTATAAATAGCTGTGAACACAGACAAAATCCCCATCAAGCATCTTTTGGGCCAATTAATATCTTGCCATTTTGGCTGGTTCCCATTCTGCACAATACAAGTCTGCTCCCCATGCCAATGTTACTGCTGCTTGGACTAGTGCTGTTGCCTGAAAGTTTACACAGACCTGTTCCTGATGGAAGTGGTGCATTTAGTAACACTAGCACTTATGAAGTCAATTTGTGAATTTGTTCAAAGGAAAAAAGCTTCAGACTTAGCCTTCTAGTAGATTAGGTTATTATTTTTCTTTTCTTTCGAATTGTTGTAAATTGTCAAGAAATTTTGCTATTTTGAAATGTAAATGGAGAGAGATGAATGAGGCCTACTTCTGCAGAGAGACATAGAATAGATGAGTTGGAAGGGGCCCTGAAGGCCATCAAGTCCAACTCCCTGCTATTGTAGGACACTACGTTACACCATCCCACTCAGGTGGCTGTCCAGGTTCTTTCTGAATGTCTCCAGTGTGGGAGTGCTCATCACTTCTCTAGGCAGTTGGTTCCACTGTTGTATTACTCTGACTGTGAGGAAGCTTTTCCTGATGTCCAGCCTGAATCTGGGTTGCTGCAACTTGAATTGATTATTCTGTGTCCTACATTCTGGCATTAGCAAGAAGAGATCTTGACCTTCCTCTTTGTGACAGCCTTTGAGGTACTTATAGAGGGATATCATGTCCCCCCTCAGTCTTCTCAAGGCTGAACATGCCCAGTTCCCTCAGTCTCTCTTTATAGGGCAGTGTTTCCAAACCCTGGATCATTTTTGTTGCTCTCCGCTGGACTCTTTCTAATTTACCTGCATCTTTCTTAAATCTTGGTGCCCAGAAATGGACACAGTATTCCATGTGAGGTCTGACCAGTGCAGAGTATAGAGGAACTTCCAAGTATTACTTGGAAGTAATAGTTCTGTTAATGCATCCCAAAATAGCATTTGCCCTTTTGGGAGCTGCATCGCATTATTGGGTCATGTTTAGCCTATTGTTCACAATTACTCTGAGCTTTTCTTTCTTTTTCAGTTGTGTTGAGCCATGTATTCCCCATCTTGTATTGATGCTTTTGGTTTCTTTTTCCTAGGTGGAGGACTTGGCACTTGCCATTACTGAATTTCATTCTGTCAGTTTCAGCCTAGTGTTCAAGTTTATCAAGATTGCTCTGGATCTTCATTCTGTCTTCTAGGGTGTTTGCTATTCTGTCCAGTTTTGTATCATCTGTGAATTTGATTATCTTTCCTTGTACTTCATCTAAATCATTAATAAAGATGTTGAAGAGCACTGGGCCCAGGACTGAATCCTGTGGCACTCCACAAGTTACCTCCATCCGATTTGAGAAGGTGCCGTTGATGAGCACTCTTTGTGACTGACTTAGCAGCCAATTTTGGATCCACCTAATAGTTTTTCCATCTGGTCCAGCTTTTGCTAATTTGCTTATCAGAATGTCATGTGATGACACTATGTCGAAAGCTTTGCCAAAGTCTAGGTAGATTATGTCCACAGTGTTCATTTTGTCCATTTGGGAAGTTACCCAGTCAAAACATGAGATTGAATTATTCTGACAGGATTTATTTTCGATAAATCCATGCTGGCTTCTATTAATCACTGCATTTTTTTCAAGATGCTTGCAGATTAATTTTTAAATAATTTATTCCAAAAATTTTCCGGGGATTGATGTCAGACTAACTAGTATATAATTCCCAGGTTCATCTTTTTTCCCCTTTTTGAAGATAGGTACATTAGCCCTTCTCCAGTCGTCTGGCACTTCTCCTAAGATTTATCAAAGATGGTAGCCAGTGGTTCTAAGAGTTCCTCTGCTAGCTCTTTTATGACTCTGGGATGGAGTTCATTGGGCCCTGGAGATTTGAAAATGTTTATTCCACCTAGGTATTCCTGGGCTGCCATCTCTCAGTTCCAGCTTGAACTTCCTCTTGATTGCAGATTTCCTGGCTACAAGACTGAAGCAAAGTAGGAATTGAGCACCTATGCCTTTTCTTTGTCATTTGTTATCACTCTGCCATCCACTTTAAGTAGCTGGATACCCTTCTCTTTCTCATGTCTTTTGTTCTGGATGTATCTGAAGAAAGCTTTCTTGTTGTGCTTAGCATCCTTTGCTATTCTTAGTTCATTTTCTGCTGTAGCCTTCCTGATGAAATTCCTGCAATTCCTTGCTATTTGTTTATAATCTTCTTTTGTGGCCTGGCCCTGTTTGCACTTCTTGTACATGTTCTTTTTTTCTTTCAGGCAGTCACTTTACCCTTTGTGGAGCCACATGGGCTTCTGCTGTCTTCTACACTTTTTTCTTGATGGAATTGTTTGTAGTTGTGCTTGGAGGATCTTCCTTTTCAAGATTCCCCATCCCTCTTGGACACCTTTCCCCGTAAGGGTGTGTTACTGTGACACTTTGGTTATCATTTTTCTGAGTTTGTATTGTGAGGCTAGAGGCATTCCTTCTTAATACATACACTGGATCAAGCAGCTGAGGCTTAAAATCCTTTATTCCAAGAAACACCAAAGCTATGCAGACAGGAAACAACAGGGGTGCTTTTAATGATGATGATAATGGCGAAGATGCCCTCTCTTTCTGAGAGGGCTCAGATTACAAAACACTTTTTACTCGTCTGGGACATCCCTCTTTGGGCGTATCAGACAAGCCTCTCTCCCTCCTCCTTTCTAATTCCCTCGACTCCTGTTGCCCCAACTGGCATGATCTTCTCCGGGAACAAGCATCTGATAAAGTTCCAGTCGTTTCCTCGGCAACTGCCGGGTTCTCAGGGTTGTTATTTCTGGGCAAAGCTGCTGTCTTCCCGGCAACTGCCTGACCTCCGTCTGGCACCATCCTACTATCAGCTCCTGCTGGAATGTTCCTTTCCCCTGCATCATCTTCTTCTCTTTGAAACACTTCCATCAGGGAGTGGGGGGGAGGGGGCATTTGTACAATGGGCACCAGGTACATGTCTTCCTGCACTGAGGCCTGGTTCTCACAGGAAGCCTCCTGCTCCTCTACGTGCACCAACGACTCCTCTGAGTCGGTGCACACAAGTTTTTTAAAGTTGGGTTTCTTGAAGTCCAGGATTCTTATTTGTCTCCAATTACCCTTTGTCTCCATCATAATTGAGAATTCAAATATCACATGGTCACTGTCTCCCAGAATTCCCAGGGCTGTTATTTTGTCCACCAGCCCATCCCTATTAGTATTAAGAGTATAGCTGATCCTCCTGTACCTTCCTCTACTTTCTGCTGGAGAAAGTTGTCAGCAACACATGTCAAGAATCTCTTGGAGGGGACATGCTTGGCAGAATTTGTCTTCCAGCATATATCAGGGAAACTGAAGTCCCCCATAATGACTACATCATACCTCTTAAAAATGCTGGTGAGTTGCTTTTCATAGGTTGCATCCTTGTCCTCTTTTTGACTGGGTGGATGGTAATATATGCCAACAACATTTTTCTTATTTTTTGCTCCCTTTAAATTTAGCCAGAAACTTTCAGTGGGGCTACTAAGTTCTTCTTCTTGAATTTCTGTGCAGATACATGTGTGTCTCACATATAGTGCAACTTCACCCCGCTTTTTGTCCTTAATATTTTTCTTGAACAGGCTGTATCTGTCAGTTGTAGAGTTCCAGTCATGTGAGTCATCCCAGCAAGTTTCTGTTATTCCTATAAGATCATAATTGTCCTTGTGTACTATGAGCTCAGATTTGTGTTGCTTGTTTCCCATACTCTGGGCATTGGTGTAGAGACACTGAAGTTCATTCTTGCTGTGCCCTGGTTTTTTTTCTACTTTTTTGGGAGACTGGTGCTGGGCCTTGCTTTGAAGTTTTTTCTCTGTTGAAATATATAAGTCTTTGCCAGGTGATGGCATGCCATGCTGCACATCTCCCTCCCCATAGGTTTTAGTTCAGAGCTCTTCTGATGAAGTTTTTCATGCGGTGGCCAAACATATGCTTCCCGTTCTTTGTAAAGAAGTAAAGATTAAACTCTTAGCCTGTATGACTAGGATAAAGTATTTTAGGACAAGATTTAAAAGGAGTTCAATAGTCAATATTAAACATTTATGTATTGCTGGTTTGAGTGTTTGGGAACTTTGCTTTTGGGGAATTATACATACTGATGCTAGAAAATTATCTCTAAAGAAGAATAGTTGGAAGTATCATATTTTTCCAAAATGGCAGAATTAGTATGACTTGCTGTTCTCCATCTCTTGGGCCTATAAATCTCATGGATCTTGGAAATTCATTTATTTATTCCGCCATTAGCCCAGTCTTTTCTACCTTTCAGGATTTCCGTGCCTTCCCTGGCTAGACAGAAGATTATAACCATCAGGTTTAATAGCTGTGGGGCCAGACTCTATCAGATGACCTAATAGGCTATTCCTTGTGAGAATCAGCAGCTTTTGTTGCAACTTTTGCAGCTTACTGGACTTCCCCTTCAGTAAAGTCTATGGACTGGTTCTCACTTCGCAATATGCAACTGTAGGTTAATTTTCCTGGGGTTCCATGATGCACACTAGATACCATTTTAAATATGCAAACTTCCGAAGGGAGGGTCATTATGGCTTGCTCTGTTAACCCACAAAGCCCATGCTCACATCACATGGTAGGCTATGTGTCCCTTCTCAAACTTTCATATTCAAAATGGTGTTTGGTATATATCATTTTTCCTCTTGAAATACAGCCTTAAGTGGCTGAACCTCCAAAAGGTTGTATCTACCTAACTTCCTGTTAGTCTTTTCCCATCCCATCTGATTTTCTGCTTGCCAGAATAAAGATAAACTGATGAGAGATAAGTAATGCCCTTGTTCTCTGAGAATAGCAGCATACTTTGAAGAAGTAGTTATAGCAAATGCAGGAAGGACTTGCACATCCTGTGTATTCTAGTAAAATATCCAAGGGCATGTGTGAGTTTTATCCATCTTTTTTGTTCATGCATCTCTCCAAAGAACAAATTCCCTCTTTGGGGCTTTGCACTGTAAGTCATGTGTCACTCCACACATCTAGTACTGGCACTGCACTAGAGATGTGTGAGAAATGAATGCATCAGATGTCCTTAGCTTGACTCTCTGAACTTTGCTTGCTTTCTGGTGCCCTGAGTTCAACTTGGTGCTGAACATGCTGAGCATTCGCATGGGCACCTGCCATAAATTGAGCCTGTCTGAACATTGTACAAGTGGTGTCCTCCTTCTGTGCAGGATGTTAGCAATAATCACAGTACTTTTATCACCATCCTGGGTGGCATATATTTATCTCAATGTTAAGAATAATTCTGGATAAATGCAGATTGAGCACTTCTAGTATAGACTGTGTCTGTTTCAGACCCTAAGGTTTCTCAACTTTTGGCTAAAATCAAATTGCTTAAAACGTAAAAGAAATTTCAACAAATAAAGCAGTTCTTACTGTATGTGTGCATTTTAGGATTCACCATTATTTGACCTTATCAAACAGTCAAAGGAGCAAGATGGGCAGACCGATCATTCTGAGCCTGCCAACTGTTTTATCCAGCCTCTTCAACATAATCACACTGCTGCAGATCTGTAAGTACTAAATGGGTAAAGGTAGGAATGGATGCTTCTTTACAGCAAGGTGTGGTTTAATTTTACCTAAAAGAAGCAGTGGCAAGCCCTTTGTTTACAAAATCCATTCTGAACCTTCACTCTATTAGCTCATTTCTTCCCAGTCTCTAATATCTCATTCTTAGCAAGGGGCTGACTAGTGTGGTGGCTTCTTTGCTCCATGGATTTCTGGATGAAATGGGCTGTTCAGATCCATTTCTCTGTGGCTTCAGGCCTGGCTATACAATAGAGAGTGCTTTCATCACTTAGTGGATGATCTGTACTAATAACTGGACAGAGGATGTGTACTCATATTGGTTTGTTGGATCTCTTGACGGGTTTTGGTATCTTTAATGGTTTGATACCATATGGTTCTGTGACTGTAATAAAGTGGTCCTTGATTCAGTAAAGAGGAGACTATCAGGTTTCCAAAGAAAGCATTTTTTTATTTAATAAATTGTGTATGCCATCTATTACTTGTGTCTCTGGACAGCTTACAACATAGGTCAAGATAAAATAGATAAATTGACAATTCCACTCTGGCTGTGAATTAATAAAATACAAACATTAAAAATGAGTTCCCATTAAAGCATATTAAAATATTGATTAGATAAAAAGGTCTTGACCTGGCGCTAAAAAACATATTATGATGGCACCAGGCGGACCTCTCTGGGGAGTTCATAGTCGGGGTGCCACTGCAGAGAAGGCCCTCCTCCGGGTACTCTGTCTCCTAATGTCTTTCACAGAGGGTTCCTGGAGGAGGGCCTCTGCTGCTGATCTTGGGGCGGGAGGGCAAATAGGGAAAAAGGCGTTCCTTTAGGTGTCCTGGTCCCAAGCCGTTTAGGGCTTTATAAGTAATAACCAGCACCTTGAATTGAGCCCGGACTTCGATGGGAAGCCAATGGAGCTGATAAAGGGCTGGGGTTATATGAGAATAACGCCCAGTCCCCAACAGCATCCTGGCAGCTCTATTTTGAACCATCTGAAGTATCCGGACTGTCTTCAAGGGCAGCCCCATGTAAAGCACGTTACAGAAATCCAACTGGGAAGTCACCAATGTGTGTGTTACTGTTGCTAGGCAATCTTCCTCCAGGTAGGGATGCAGCTGATAGATTATCCAAAGCTGGAGGAAAGCGCTCCTCGCCACTGCTGTCACTTGGGCTTCCAAGGACAGCTCCGGGTTGAGGAGCACTCCTAATCTGCGGACCCTGTCCTTTAGAGGGAGTGCAACCCCATCCAGGGCAGGGCCCAAGTCACCCAGGAGCTCGAATCACCCACCAACAGAACCTCTGTCTTATCTGGATTGAGCTTCAGTTTATTGGCCCTCAGCCAGGCACCGGTTCAGGACAGCCACTGCCTCACCTGGGTTAGTTGAAAAAGAGAGGTAGAGCTGGGTGTCATCAGCATACTGATGACTCCGCAGCCCAAACCTCCTGATGACCTCTCCCAGTGGTTTCATGTAGATGTTGAATAGCAAGGGGGACAGAGACTGAACGCCAGATCTGGTTTTAAACACTATGCATGTAACATTTATGCCATGATATAAAGAATACAGAATACAAGTTCAGCATACAGTAAGAATACAAGTTCAGCACTCATCAGCAACAATATCAAGAGGCTTCATTCACACTCACATTCATGCAACACTCATACTCACAGCCAATAGACCCTCTCAGTGATCCATCGGGACTCTGGGTGACCAGTTCAGTCCTGTTCTGGCACACAAGGGAGCTGAAAAGTCCAGGCATTTTATACCTTACAGTTGACTCTATCAGCTTAGACCAACTGGATTGAACAGTGAACTCCTCTGAGCAGAGCTGACACACACAACGTGCTGGTCGTTATCTTGAACACACACACTCTCATCACATTCCATTGTCTCTCTGGATGGTACAGCGTGGGTTTATCTTATCTGTTACATTCCATTCTCCAACCACTCCTGGCCTCTCAGTTTTCTCAGTCTGGTCCGTCCCATCATGCTTTTTAATTCTTCATTTTCTTCTGGGTCTTCAAGAACCCATGCGCATGTAACAGTTCTAAGCAATCTGGTATTGGACAGGGAGGCACTGCCATACACATCACAGAAGGCCTGTCTTGGAACAAGCACTGGTAGATGCTCGATCACTGTAATGTCCAGAATGAATTCTGTGCTATTTAACATATACATGAAACTGTTCAGAGAGATCGTCTGGAGTTTGGAAGTCTGATGTCACCAGTATGCTGATGACACACAACTCTTTTTCCTTTCCATCCAAATCTAAGGAAACTGTTCTAGTTCTAACTTGGTGTTTGATGTCAGTAAGGGACTAAATGAGGTTCCAGTCACATATGCCTTAGCTACATCTCATTTGGACTACTGTAACAGGGGCACTCTTTGAAACTGTTCAGAAACTTCAGGTGGTCAAGAATGCTGCAACCAGACTTTTGGTTACAGAATTGGTTGCAGTGATCGTGTGTCTCCCTTGTTTGATTTCAGGCAGAACTCAAAGTGCTGGTTATGACCTATAAAAGCTGATATGGCTTGGGACTAAGCTACTTGAAAGATCACTTTCTGTACAACCTTCATGGTTCTTAATAACTTTGGGAGAACTCTTCAATACCATGACCTTCACAGGCAGGTTTGGTGGTAATGTGAAAGACCTTGTAGGTGACCACTCACTGGCTATGAAGCTGAGGATATAGCCTCATGGCAGTTGTCAGTGGTCTGGTAACCTTTGTTAGATTATAACATTGAGTTTCCTATAATTTGCAAAGCCAGAAGTTCTGTCAGGCAATAAGGGTTTTTCCATGGGAATGTTTATTCCTTTTATTACCTTACTGTGCTATTAATCAGCTTATGCTCTCTGCATGGTTCACAAAGCAAAACTTGAACCTGTAAAATACAGTGACATAGTTCTAAGAAAAGGCTGGGTGTTTTTTATCATGGTTTTTCTGCCATGTTGTCTGAACCCAGTCATGGTATTTCAGCATGGTATACTCGGTCTTTCAAAATAGTGATAAGAAACAACTGTTTATTCTATGGTTTCTTTGTACTATGATGATTTTATTGAGATTCAAACCCATGCTCATGGTTTCCATGGTCTGGGAATGCAGTTACCAGAGTACCATAGAAAGAGTGGCAACTGCAGGAGTTGCTCTAGCCATCTACCCTTTATTATTCTGCTTTGCCTAGCAACAGATGTATCACCACCTACTTCACTTTTACAGGCTGCTTTTTACTCCCATTTTCTTTTCTTTTTTAAATAAGTTTTGTTTGAAATTATAATCCTAAAAAACAAAGAAAAACTAAAAACAACATCAGTCATCAAAAATCTCGGGCCTGCTGGGTCAGCCCCCGCATTTTTCTTTTTCCATTTATGGTAACTTAAAAACATATTTAAGTCTATGCAAAATCCCGTTTCTCTAGCCTATAATAAAAAGAGTCCCAAGTTTGATAGAAGTCAGTATTTTCCTTCTCCTTCAATGATAAGGTCAATCTATCCATTTCTGCACAGTCCAGGATCTTTTTTAGAATCGGTTCATCGGTGGGTAGTTCTTCATATTTCCAGTGTTGAGCAAATGCAATTCTCGCCGCAGTAATTACATGTAAAGTCAAATACATTGCTTGTTTACTAAGATCATCAGGTACAATGCCTAATAAGAAAACTTCAGGTTTAAATGTTAAAGGTTTTTGCAAAATTTCCTCAAGTCATTTGTGTATTTTAATCCAATACTTTTTTTCCTTTATCACAAGTCCACCACATATGATAAAAGGTACCCAATTTATGTTTACGTTTCCAACATCCATTTGATATATTTGGAAACATCTTAGCTAATCTATTTGGCATCTATAAAACATTTTATACAAGTTTTATTTATACGAGGTTGCTAATGTTACCTTAATATTTCTCTCCCATAGCTTTTGCCACTTTTCTAATTCAATATTATATCCATAATTTTGTGCCCACGTTATCATGGTTTCCTTAACCTGTTCATCTTCCATTCTCCTATCAAGTAAAAAATCATCTAATCTTTTAATCATTTTCTCATCTGATTTAAACATCACTTGATAAAACGCTATTAAGTCCTTATAAAAACCCCACACTTTATAATCTTTAGCATATCTCGATTGTATCTGCACCTTGTGCCACCAAGAGATACTAGATCCCTGTTCTTGTGTTTCCTGATTCAATTTCAATCCTCCATCATTATCCAAAATGTCATCGTATCTTACGATCGCTTCAAAGTTCAATGCATTTGGATATACAAGAGCTTCCATAGATGAAAGCCATTTTGGTAATTTATTATACAATTTTATCTTTAACTTTTTCCACACTGATATTAATGATTTTCTAATACAGTGACTTAAAAAAGAGCCATGTGACTTAGCCTTCTCATACCACATATAAGCGTGCCAGCCCATTTGCAAATCATGCCCTTCAAGATACAAAATTCTCTTATTTCTTAAAGTTATCCATTCTTTTAGCCATGCTAAAACAGAAGCTTGATAATACAGCATCCAGTCGGGGAGACCATAACCCCCGTTCTCTTTAGCCTCCTGAAGTATTTTTAATTTAATTCTTGGTTTCTTCTTTCTCCTTATAAATCTTGAAAATTGAAAATTTAAATCCTCAAAAAATTTTCTATCAATTTTTATGGGAATCATTTGGAACAGAAACAAAAACTTTGGTAATATATTCATTTTAGCTAGTGCTATTCTTCCCAGCAAAGATAAATGCAAATTAGCCCATTTTTTCAGATCACTCTTAATAACCTTCAATAGTTTATCACAATTGTCTTATTTCAGAGTAGTACACTTAGCTGTAAGATAAATTCCCAGATACTTAACCTTTTTAGCAATCGGCAAATCTACTTGTTCCTGCAGGGTTTTTCTCTGGTCTTGCGTAAAATTTTTTACTAACAGTTTCGTGTTTTCCCTATTTATTTTCATTCCAGTAACCTCACCATATTCTTCAATCCTTTGTAGGAGTTTAGGCATTGTT